TTTCTGACTACAGCTAATTCTGATTAGCTGAAATTGCATTAGCTACTATAGCTATAAAATTTGTTAATACATATAGAGGATTTGCTGCTGTAGCTAATATAAGAATGTGATAGCAAAGTATGCATGTCTATTATAGATCAATTTATTTAGCAACATCAAATTAGTTGTCATAGTTATCGGATATATCTGTGTAAAAGAAAATTGTTTCTACCACAGCTAAATATGATTTGCTGAAACTGTATTTGCTATTAAATTGTCACAGAAAACGTTTGCTGCAATGATCAATACATAATAGCAAAATGCTTGTCTGTTACAATAATAATATTTAGGCCAGCTAATGGAAATTAAATCTCGCAGACACGACGTTAGGTATCTATATAATGCTACTGAATTAGTTGCCAAACCTAATTTTTAGCTGTGGCAGCTAATCCTTTTTTTCCATGTAAACCAAGCCTGCAAGGCCAGCATTTCCATATTAAGTATATATCGCCGAATTCGGATCTATATTGCTTGCGAACTTATTCGAAAGCTATATAAATTAACAATAAAAACTGTTTGATGAGAACTGACGAGATTTTTCTTTTTTTTCTCTCTCCCTCTTTTTTCTCTCCTTTTCTTTTCTTGGATTATCCCGCTTCCCTGCCCCTTCCGTATAGACTCTGCGTAATGATAATCCTCGTTGATGCGAGAGCAACGTCATTGCATTATTATGGCACGCTGCTGATAGAGTCCTCAAAACTCACGGACGCCTTCTATATATATATATATACTCTCGCGAAGAAGCCAAGGCTCCACCCTGCGCGCCACTCGCTCCGTGCTTTTCCTTTTATGCCTTCTTTCATAACTGTTTCATTAATTCGGACGTGACATACCATATTTTCTCATGTTGGTAAGAATGGTTGCTAATTAGAAAATGCAGTACTAAAAGATTGATAAAAAATTCTGAAAAAATTCTTAGAGTTTTATGAAGAGAAAATAAACAATTTTTATTTCTTTCAGTTTTTCTGTAAAGTTGATAGAATTTAGAGAAAAAAATTATTGAAAATATTCGGCAATTTTTAATAATTAATATCTTGTTAACTATTGCAATAATTGCAAAATGGTAGAAGACTTTTCGACTCGAGTTTAGTCTGCTCTATCTACATAAGAGCGCAAAATATTAATTTCAGGATACCTTGATATATATATATATATTCATACACTGTAATGAAAAGAAGTCTGTTACTTAAAAAAGTATATAAGTCTGCTTTATTGTTTCATTTTTAATGTACAATGGTTTTTTTAATAGTTAAAAGTATTATAATATATATGGATGATAATTTTCACATATTTTTGCAAAACGTATAGTTACAACACCTTTTATAAAAGTAAATATGTTTTTATTATTATAAACAAAAGTATCAATTGAAATATTTCGAATTTTATTTCTTCATTCCATGCAGCGTATTGAAATCAGCATTTATAAATGTTGTTGTTATCTCACTTTGGTGATTTACTCGCACATCAGCGGTGTGCACTTTGCGCATCGCACCAGAGAACGAATTCTTCTCCAGAAAATTTTCAGTCATATTTAGGTAATTTTTTGGTCATATACATGTAAGTTTCTTGTAAAATTACAAACATTGTTTTCAATGAATAAACGTCCGGGAATTATTTTAAGAATGGATTATATAATGGGTTGTAAAAACGTTAGCTAAACTTGTAGATAAACGTTTTAAAATGATTCTTTTATAGTAAAAAAAAAGTTTTATAATAGTTTTTATACTGATTTCATAAACGTTTAATTAATTGTTATTTCTAACATGGACACATATAATATATTAAAAACGTTCACTTGTAACCGTTATTCAATGACAGAAAAATGTTTTTTCAACATTTTTTCAACATTTTCATTCTATTTGGGTTTTTCATCTTAGGTTTTGTTATGTCTTATGACCTTAACATCAGTGCTGCTAGATGCTCGCTGGTGTCCTCTCCATTTCCCACCACTCCCTTCGATCGCCACCATATGCCAAACAAAATCGTTCTTTTTGCGGCCCTATTTTTTTAACTAAATGATAAAAAATTATTTTAACTTTTTTTTCAATATCTGTTTCATGTTCCTCGCATACTCGTTTTTTATAACAATCCTAAGAATGGTATAATTAAAAATTCGGTATAATTAAAAATCTGTTAACCCTAAACTATTGTTATTTTTGGTTACCTTTCCGGCTACCAGAGTATGTGAAACCCTGCAACTTTGTCACGCTATATATCTCTGGACTGAATATGTATTTTTTAGCTCAAAACGTGTGAAATTTATACTTCGTAGTTAGACGAAGGCAGATAAATATGAATCAAATAAATAATATGTTATTTTCAATTAATCACAATGCTTTAAAGAAATTTGATTGGAAAAATTCGCAAAAAATGACTGGATGAAAAAATTTTCAAATTTTTAAATTTAATGTTCAAGCAAAAATCTGTAGGATTTTTTTAATTGACCTTTGGACTAACAAAAAAAAGTTAGTACGATTTGAATTGCTCAAAAAATTATTTGAACTATCGAAAATCGACATTTTTGAAAAATTTATACATATTATAAGTTTACAAGTAATAAATAAAATTTTATTATTTGAACAATATAAAATAGTAAATAAAGGATTGTACAGATATGAATATTATTATAGTATATATAATTAAGTTTATTAGGATTTAGTTTAGAGAATGATGCAACACTCGCTCTAAAGTAATGCATCCGCCTCGGCCGAGCTCCAAAGAGACTGACAGAGATTATAAAATTCCTATTTATTATATTGAAATAATTCTTTTTAATTCTACATTTTTGTGTTCTTACTTTTTTACTATCTGAAACTTAGTTTATACAATAAACGTAGATTTAATAAAAAATGAAGGGGCATTTAGAATGCCGAAAACTTACGAGTTAGTAACGTATGAGTCCCAAGTATCCTCTTTGAACTTTCGTGCATTCTCACATTGAAAATAACGCAAAAAAAATACCCTTGCAGGCTTATGATATCTATGGACAGTTAAAGTTTTTTTTTTCAGCTTCAATCCGGGTCTTCAAATTATATTATAAAAAAGTTACAGTAATGTAAAAAAATCGCATAAGGTATGTTGAACCCATGAATAGTTTGCTAGAGTTAACTTGAGTTCCATATATGCATCATGTGTTAAAACTGCACATTTTAATTGCAATTATCTTAAAAACTAGACGGTCTATGTTTCTAATTGCACACAAGCATAGAGTATTTCAGTTTATTTGTATTTAAAATTTTACTACATTCGTAAGAAAATTATTTTATGAAAATACTATCTAATAACAAATTTTTTTTAATAGTTACAGATACGATTTTTTTTCTCTAACAAGTGCAATTTTTGTGCGACCGTTAATGAATTTTATTTTTTGCGTCAAACTATTTGCACACTTGTTCATTGTTTTCCACATAAAAATTAATTGATGATGAATATTTATTGCATTTTTGTTTTTTTTTTGTGATTAAGGATCTAATTACCGAACGTAATTTGTAGTCGTGTATTGTTGCCTTGTATTGACGCCTTTATGATCTTCAGCTAATAATAGATCTGTTCGCGTTGTGTACATTCAGCATCTTCGTTTTTTCCCTTTTTAATGTCTTTTAAATATATATCTATCTCACTTTAAATTCAACAATTTTTGAGAATTTTAAGCAATACTAACAGATCTAATGATTGCAGTGAAGGTGACACTAATAGCGAATTTTATTGGCATATTAAAACCGACATACCAAAATAACATGAGTGTGTATACATCATGTACACATCGCTATTGGTGGAGGAGTGAGATAGTCTATATTCCTTTCTCGTTTGGAGGAATTTGACGAAATCCTTGGTCATCTCTGATTAAAGAGTCTCTACTGCTTTCAATCGAATTCGCTATATAAGTGAAAATGTTACTAAAATAAAATACTCAAATGAATAGTCTCTACAATGCACTAGCTACTAGTAAGCTAGATGACTCGTAAGATAATCGGTTTCTTTTTTTGCTATGAAAAGAAAACTTAACTGATAAAGAAATTAATTTTGTGATGCCCCTCGTATATACCTAGATGTTAAGGTCTCGTTTCTATTAAATGTGTTACCGTATAAGAGAGAAAAAAAGAGATTATGTGTATACATATAGATGGGATGTTTTAATTGTTTAACTCGTGATGACACGATGCATGACGCGCTCAGTAAAAACGAGGCTTAAAATATTTTTAGAAAATTTGGTCCGTATTCCCAGTGTATCAAAATTATTCTGGAACAGTAAATGAATTATCACAAAATGTGTAAATGTCGATGAAACATTCAGAATGTTTATGAATACCCAAGTAGCACACAGCGTTTACAAAGCGTTATCAAAGCGCTAAAAAATGCATATAATCGCTTTTTTTAGCGCTTTATAAGCGCTGTTGTGCTATTTGAGTATTCTTTGAATATATCACGAAAATCGCGAACATTTCCGCCGACAGAGGGCCGTGGAAAAGAGCATTTATTTGTAAATGAAAATTAACTAAGAGATATAAGTGCAGCATTTCGCTTGTGAAATGAGTCCGAAAACTGGGCTTTAAGAAAAACATATAAAATGTGTTCTTTATAGAATAAAAAGTTGCTTTATAAGTATAGAAGTTGCATTACATTCCGTAAATATTTCGGCATATACCGATATAATACTCTTGGAATATTTTTCTTTTTGCATTTTAGAAAACTTTTGTGAATATTTCAGGAATGCTTTGCTTTGGCTAGGTATATACGTTAAAATGCACTTTTTAGAAGGAATTTATGCTGTTTATGTTCTGGGCTCCGTAATATAGACATATAGTATATTGATTCAATAATAATACACTTTTTATATATTTTTTAAATACTCGTCCCGTTTAAGAATATTTTCTGTTTGTTTAAGAATAGTTTCCTTTCTTTTTTTTCTTGCTGCTATGGAATGATTAAACATATAATAATTAATGTCGCGATGGTTACAGAATTGACGTATGTGAATCAAAAATTGAAATTGTGACTCCTTATTGGGCAAGCAACAGTGCAGGAAAAATTCGTGCGATCGTGAATACTCAACATTTCGAACAAGCGATACATCAAGAAGTGTGCTCGTGAGTAAAACAACTGTTTTCTGAGTCACCTCATTTCAAATGTTTTGTGTGATTTTTCATAAATGTTCATTATATGGATGTATAGATTCATATACGATTTCTTACATAATAAAAAACACTGGGTAAACTGTATTTTCTTCTTTGCAGAAAAACACAAACGAATCGATGCAGCAGTGACTGCGGATGCGAGCAGAAGTACAAGTGGCACAGGTTGCTCGCGTACGATCCTGATAATGACTGTAAGGGTATATTCATGGACTGGTTCTTGTTTCCCTCTTGCTGCGTGTGTAGATGCGATCCTGTCAACAGTAGCAAGTTTTCTTCATCTAATGGTCGAAACTAATTTAGAAATTGACATAGAGATTGAGATAGCTCGTAGTTCGAAATTCGCCATGGAAATTCTGACTACTCATTCAGCGTATTTAAACAATAAGGATCTTTAACATCCAATAACCACTAATAAGAAATGTTTAATAATAGGTATGCGTGTCGGCAAATTTGAGCGATCTATCACCTCGATTAAAAATATGAAGATATTTTATAATACTAAAAAAATGCATAATCCCACACTTCTTTAGTGAATTAATCAAATTAGAGATAAATTAATCGTAAAAAATATTAACTCGTTAATGTGTATTGCATATTTTAATTCTTTTCTCAGATGACTTAATTGTTTAACTTACTGAGGGATTAATTTTTGAAGACTGGCAAAAATTATTTTATTGACGTTTCAGATACATTTATTTAAAATATAAGCTAAAACAAATTATATGAAACAATAATAGCGAAATGATAATAGCGGATAGAATAATAATAGTGACACTATTGTATTATAAGATGTTTGAGAAATATAACGTACACATATGTAGCTGTAACATATTTCGCCAAACAGTCAAACGTTAGGTAAAACGTTAGGTATGCATATGTGCCAGTTTTTCAAGAGGTTAATCACGTTTTCTTCCGTCTCTTTTCTTTATGTTACAATTATTGTAAAGAAGAAGTATTGTAAAGAAGAAAAAAATTGAGACTGTACCGGATATCTGAGAAGTATCTGGCATCCGGCTTTATCCGGCTGTTTTTTATTATCCGCCCGAATAACTGAGTATCAATATTCAATAACAATACTAAAATTATACAATATATTGAAAGTTCACATCATTTAGACAAAATTTCTTTTTAGCTGAACTTCATGCACAGTTCATCTTTCTCTTTTTCTTTTCAAGTTAGAGAGATAAAAAAATTAATATAGCTACTTTAAGGTGATCTTAAAGCCATTAACAGAATGGAGTAATTGCACTGAATATTCAGAAAATATCCGGTAAATATCCAGCTGAATAATTGTCTTACTGGATATCCGATCGAATATTGGATTCGGTGTCACATTCTTTTGGAATATCCAATATCCGGTATCAGATATCAGGTAATTTTACGATTCTACATCTCCAGGAAAAACCCAGGAAAGAATCTGGAAAAGAACAAGCAATAACATTTCAGCGAGAAATGACTCATCAAAATGATATCGACATCGAAGATGTTCGAAAACCGATCGAAATATTCATCGATTTCAATGAATTCAAGTGATACTTGATTCGATGAATTTTCGACACTTAGAATGATTCGATTTCGATAGTCTAAACAAATACAATAATACAATTCTTTAACGAAAAAAATAAATTTTTTAATATATTATTATAATATATTTATAATTAAATAATATTTATGGATAAATAACATTTAAGGTCTGTTCTTTATTCCTGCACTATCTAAATTGGTGCACACAGTGCATTGCTTCGTACAATAAATTAAAACGAAAAACATATATTTGTTTCACTTCAACTTATTGCACTGTGTGCACTTTCAGGTAGTGTAGGAAAGAACAAACCTCTAGACAATACAAAATATGACATACAATATTAAAATCTTTTTTAAAGCATTAATTTGTTCGTTAAGTGCATCTACTTTCTTCTGAGCATTTTCTAAAATTCTTAAACGTTTGACCTCTAACTCTTTTATTTCTAAAATCTTTTTCTTTTCATAGACGCTTCTTATTCTGCAGATGATCTTGGTGCCAACGCTGCTCAAGATCTTGTGCGTAACGGGAATAAGCATTTCGAGCACAATGCAAAAAAGCTTTAGATATTTCTAAAGCATAAACGCCACCTTCGTGTAATAAAGCATCATATATTTGACGACGGACAACTATAGATTCCTCTTTCTAAACGTTTTTCAGAACGATTATAATATTTTATGATATCCATGATGTACTATCGCGACGTAAGATCTCGAAATTGCCGAATTATGGCGTCAGCTGTTAATCCAGTTATTTGATCCTTTTCATTAAGAATGGTATACAAATTATGTAAAACGTTTCTTGGCTAAGTCTAAATTTGAAGCTATCAGGCTTGGATCTAAACAGGTAGCAGAATTTGTCAAAGGATATGTTAACGATGATCGTGTCATTAATACGGAAATAAATTTTAGGAGACACTTCTTGCAATCCTGTCGAAAGTGTAACATATCTGCAGTATTAATATTAACTTTTCTTATTATTTTTATAATATCAAAATCTAATGTGATATTTTTTGCAGAAAAATTAGCCTCTGTCCGGACATCTTTCATTGATAAAATACTTTTTATTACTTCAAGTTTCATAAAACATTCTAACACGTTTTTCAGCATTAAAGAAAAAGCACTACGTAAAGATGGAGCTAAAGGTGTATCTGATTGAAATTTTCGTAAAAAAGATTTCTACATTAGAAGCAAGAGATTTAAAAAAAAACAAGTTTAGCACACAATAAAAGATCTTTAATATATTTTACAATTATTTTGTAACTTTCATATACGTTGGTTCAATCTTATCTTGCTGCATACCTTCAATAAATTTTTTAATATGTGATGTACCATCAATCGTTCTTTGAGCTACCGCAATTTTCCAGCCATCTTATAGAGTAAAATTTTAGTGGAAAAATATCAGATCCAGAATATTGCACATATAAAGCTCTACGAGCATATAAAGCTGCCACATTCTTGAATAGATTGTATAAGGTCTCATGTATGAAATAATGTTCCAATCAGCAGCATATATATTAGATTTGAACGCACAATGCAAACGATGTAGACCTCAACTTCCAATATCAATAGTTTGTTTGAAAATTCTGATTTATATTCTTTTATAAAAGCCCAATTCACATTTAGTTCATCCATAAATATTTGCAGTAACTTGTCTGTCAGATTTCCAATACCATCTTTGTATGCTTCAAAAAGATCTGTTGCCCTTCGTCCAAAAAACCGTGAAGTTATATATCGCGTTATTACTTCTTCGTTTTTTATGTCCCAAAATCTCATATTTATATCCATTTGTTTTATAATCTTATTGAGAGATTCGTCAAAGCCAACAACAACAAGATATGCGCGGTTAATATTTTTTAAATAATTTCTTATTGAAGGAAGGAGCGATACCAAACATAATAATATAATCAATTTTGTTCCTTTTTAATTGCATTTTTTTAGCAATGTCACTATCCGGAAACATTCTTCGAAAAACACAAACGTCTTTCTCTGAACTATGCAATGACTTGTGACTCATGACAGTTCTATGCACCATAACACTTCAACTGTTGTAATATTATTTTTGATAAAAAATGTATCAATTTTATTTTGTACTAATGGATTAGATAAAGCTTGATCTGTATTAGAATTCGTAGAAAATCCGACAATGAAAATAGATGAAGGGTTTACTTGAATTAATTCAGAAGTGACAAAATTAGAAGAAGTAACTGCAACTGAGCTGTCGGTTGTGGATTCTAAAAAATCTTTTAATAGCACACAACTTTGACGTTGACCGTGTTTTTTACTTTTCATAGGACTTAGGAGAGCTCGTCTTCCCAAAAAAATATTTTGAGGAACATAAAATGCAGTGAGCATAATGGGATTTCTCTTTTGTAAATCATATTCAGTTCTGAAACTTAGAACTTTTAAGCCTATTTTCTTGAAATTTTATCCACAAATATTTCGGTATCGTATAAATCTGCACAAAAAAAAATTAAATACATCATGCTTATATGAATTTTTTGATTCAATGCAAAACAGCAATGATATGTCACCAAATAACATATAAAACTTTAATATTTATCATAGCAAAATATAATTTCTAAGAGAGAAAAATAATATCTGTAAAGAGTAATTTTTTGTCCAAACATTCCGTTTATCTATTAAGTTCATTTATATTATGAATTAGTATCATTTAACTTAGCTATTATCATGAGCTATTCTCTTTTACCAATATATACACATACATGTATATATATATATATATATATATATATATATATATATGTAATGCAAAAGTTGTTTATGTATTAATAAAACTATTATTAATGAATAGTATTTAGATTATATATTTGTTATATTATTAATTCTCTTCTAAACAATATTAAGAAATGCATTGCTTATGCTGTCAATAGTATTAATAAACTTACTCAAATTTAGATAACTGTTAGTTAGTATATATGCATACAAATACACGTTATAACATGTCGAACAGTTTCAATTAGCTACAATGCTAGATGACAGTCGTTTGCATCAAAGAGGCAGCATGTGAAGATGATAAAGTTATTAAATCTAATGACTTTGGAGAGGTTAGCACACCATAAATATACATGACTAAATACATTCTCTTTTGTGGCTATCTTTGACTTATATAGTCAAAGGTGGTTATCATATGGTTTGCGACATATTGAGACACTAGCACCTCTGAATTTAGAGGGCATTATTACATTCTTTTCTTCTATACTGTCGATAAAAGTTTTGATAATTGTTCAGTTTAGCTATGTCACCTCAAAATTTGACGCGTTTTTGTCCAAAACGAACGAATCTGAAAAAAGCGTCGCTCTGCCTCGTGAACCGAGATATTAATCGTTAAAGTTGACAACTATTCAGGTTAAGAAATACATTACAGCCAATAATAGGGGCCTAGATATCAGAGAAGCGACAAGTGAGGAAATCGTCTGATTGACTGGTTAAATCACGTGATTCAATGCCATATTTTTCACAGTAGAATTAGGGCTATAGCAGAGAATGAGATATAACGAAACGTAGTCGTGGATATAAAATATGACAGAAAAAAACATAGATCATCGCAGCATCGGACTACAACATCTATGTTTTCTTATGTTTTACTTACGTCACGACTACGTCTTGTTATATCTTATTCTCTGCCATAGTCTCTTTAGGCTACAGTCAAAGTTTCATCATAAATGATTTGAAGCGTTTACGAAAGAAATGATTTTGTTAAACAAAATAAAATTTAAATTTAAAAATAGAATACGAAAAATTTTCCTGACAATTTCAACAAAATTCCATGAGAATTCCAGGATTTTCAAAAGTAAAAAAAATTCCCTGAGAATTCCAAGTTTTGGACATCCTGATATAGCATATATAAGACATAATTTTTAAAAACTTTTTTTTAAATAACTTTTTAATGAATAACGAGCGATGCTAAAACGTTGAAGATCACAAAATCAAGGTCATCGGAAGGTAGTCCGTAACGCTCTGCGTAATTATTACGCGTTTTCAA